TAGGGTTTAGGGGGTTTTACGTTTTAGTTTTAGACATTACAGTGCCCAACCGTCGAGAGAATTGATCTGATGTCGTTTTGGGCCACTTACCGTAAAATTGGGTTTATGTCATAATTAGCAGATAAAGATATGAATTTTATTATTAATTTTATTTAAAAAATAAATTTTATTAATTTTTTAATCAAAATATAAATTTTTTATTTTTTTTATTTAAAGATATTAAATTTATAATTTTTTATTTAAGAATTAATTTAATAATTAAAAATATTATTTGTTAGATTAATATTATCATTTAATTAATTTTTAAATAAAAAATATAAAAGTAATATTTTTAAATAAAAAAAGATAAAATCTCATTATTTTATTTAAAAATCTATAAATTTTATATTTTTAAATAAAGAATTAATATTCTTTTTTGCATATTTCCTCCTAAACTTAATGGATCCCAAGGAGGAATTTCTCTTTATAAAATTTTATGCAGCATTTTTTTCACCCTATTGATGATTGTGGAGATTTTTGTTTTTCTGTAAAATATTAAAAGACAAAAAATATTATTGAATCCAACGTATTCAATTTATAATCATAAGGAACTCCACTACGCGGTCCACTGGTTGGGCCACGCTCCTCCTTTGAGGAGCAAAGTAAAAATCACTCGTTTGACTCGTCCAACATACATTAAAGCAGATACTAACATTAATAATTAACTATTTTTTGTGTAAAAAAAAAATTTATAATCATAAAATATAGACTTCACTCATTTTTTACTTTAATAATATTAAAGTCTAATTACTCTAAATCAAATCCAAACCAATACAATTTTTTTTTCTTAATCCAATTCTTTGAAGTTTAAAACATTTTAGTTCTAATGGTAAAGCAAGAATGGCTAAATTAATTTTGTAATGTAAATTAGCAAAACGGGAAATCCTGCTAAGTGACGGCAATGGGGTAAATTTTACTCCCATAAAAAATTTCCACGGGAATTTTCATCTCTTCAGTTTGCAAGAACTGAAATTGAGTCATTTTTTAGCTCCAGAGGACTGGTTACCATCCCTAAACCTATCGATGACTCAAAGAAAATTCACAACCTACAACTAGAAAACTTATATTTAATCGTTAAGAGGATGGGTTGAGATTTTAAAAAGGGGAAATAGTATCTCTTTTTGTTGGGCTTATTAGAATTATTCTGCATTTTTTAGCCTTTGATTATAGAGTTTTCAATAATTTATTATCCTAATGCGTTATTTATTTATTTATTTTGATTATATCTAATATGTTAAGTGAAAAAAATCTCACATTAAGATTAAAATAAAAAAGAGTTTGTCTAACATATATTCTTAGGGTATAGATTAAGAGTGTAATAAATATATATTTTTTAATTAATTTACATTAAAAATGATAAAAGTTGATACATTTTTTAATATTATTAGCATGTAAATGATTTTAATTAATTGATTAAATTAAAATCAACATTTATATTTCTAACAAAAATTAATTATGAAAAGATATATTTATTATACCCTTATCCTATACTTTAAGGGTTCAAGATAGAAAAATCTATAAAAAAAAAATATGGATTAAATATAAATAACAATATTTTAATTATTGTTAATTAGTTTTAAGTTAGATGTAAGTATTATGTTAAATTCTAAATGCATAATTTTCACATAATATTAAAGGTTAAATTAACTCAAAATTCATATCAAATCTACATAATAGGTCTGCACATGAAGGGGATGCTGAGCGGAAAAATTTTACATTGAGAGTAAAACAAAAAAACAAACATGTAAGTTAAATATAAGTTTCAATATATTTTAAATTGGATGCAAGTTATAGTAATGAAATTTCCGTATACAATATTCACATAATGCCTTTACTTAATTTCCACGTTCAAGTTGTGAATAAGGCTTCAATAACAAGTTCCTTTTTCCATATTTAATTTTTCTTAAGTTGTGTACTTATTTCATTTTTTTTTTTAATGTTGAAATGATAAATTATATAACAATAGATAATTTTTTTTCTTTCCAAATCTCTTCACATTCATCTCAAAATTTAAATTTAAAATCTTTAATATAGATATTCAAGTTTTTAACTACTTATTATATGTCTCCAAGGGACACTGTATTTCATTGTTGTGATATGTACTGTGTATGTTTTGCACTTGTACGCTACATCAAAAACTTTGCACATTTGGCTCGCCACAAAACAAAGCATGTTAACCAACCAGCTGGCTGAGGCAGCATGCTTCCTAAAGAAAAGTTCTATGCACGGGGCCAAGATGCAGAAACTAGTAGGGTGGGAACCCCCTCCAGCAGGCACCTTCAAAATAAATGTAGATCGCTCGTTCCAGGGGTCTCAAAGACTTTCAGCAACAGGGGGCATTTGCAGAGATTCAAATGGAAGGTGTCAATTTGGCTTCTACATGCAACTAGACACAGGACATGCAATACGAGCAGAAATCTATGCTATCCTCAAGGCCTTGGAGCTTGCACGGCAAAAGAGCCATAACAATGTGGTTATTGAATCAGACTCCTTGTTAGGTTTTGAATTTTTTTATTTTAGTTTTTATAAATTTTACAATTTTAAATAAAAAACTAATTTACTTTTACATATTTTTGTAACATATTATTATGATTATAAACAAAAGTAAAAACAAAATTTTATTTTAATGCCATCAAACATGTAAGTTCTTTTAATTATCAGTATTAAAATTTGTTTTAAACAAATTTTTAATTTTGATTTTTATTAGTTGTAAAATTTATAAAAATCAAAACAAAAAAAACCCAAAAACACATCTTAAAAGGATTCATCTGCGCCACATGACTTTGATTCAAAATCTTTCTGGGTGAACACAATTGATAAATTTTTATCTCCATTAATAGCCAAATTTGAGAAAGAGGAAAACTGAAGGGTACAATCAATTCTGACCATCCTTCTCATTCTTACCATCAGGAGCTACTTGGCAGATCTTAGTGATGAAGGGAATCTGCAACATGAGTTACTTGAAGGGATGACAGATTTTCATGATCAGCCCTACATATGAATTTTTTTTAGAGATGCAACAAGAACCTGTTTTCCCATTCTTATGGCCAAATACTTTCTTGAAAATGTGTTCACACTCAGGCATGAGATAAAACCATTCAAATTCGTGTGGCGAAATGCTATTCAAATTCGTCACAGGTTCATTACTTCTTCTCTACTTCGCCTTCATTTGGCGTGCCCCCAATTAAATTTGCTATTAACTTGTTGGCATCTCGTAATTTTCGCCTATCCATGGCTTTGTCTACAAAGATGACTCGTCCATCTAATAACTGCAAACAAACTATAAACTGTCAACTTGGACCAAATCCTACCTCTAATAAGGATTGAATGAAGGGGTAGTTCAAGGCATAGAGAAGGGGAACGGATAAGGAAACCAGATGATAAAAATTTCATGCAACTTTACCTTCCCATTCATTTCTGTCAAAGCCCTACTTGCTTCCTCCTCTGTAGCAAAGCTCACATACCCATAACCTTTAGATCTCTTTTTATTTTTATCCATTATTACCTTTGCTGGAGAACAAAAGTAGCTAAATGAATGAAATAGTAATTAGAAAGAAATAGATGAGTTGAGTATAAAGAAGCCAGGATAAAACCTTCAATTACTTTGCCAAATTTTGAAAATGACTCAGCTAAAGTGAACTCTGTGGCTTTAAAAGATATACCTGCAACAGAGAAATTTGTTATGGTAACAGAAAACAACCACTGTGTTGAGAAGTAGTCCAGTGTGTGAAACATGGTATCCTATTACACCTAGTTACTCCTCAACCAAAGATCACATGAACCTAAATGATTTTAATATAACTTGCACAGGCAAAAGTTTCCTCCTTTCCAATCACAAAAATTGTTTGTGGCCAACGCCATGCTATCTCCAATCCTCTTTCTTCCTACAAAGAAAAATACACCTCCCATTTACAATTGCAATGTTAACTAGCAAAACTAAGAGAATGCAGTTGGCAACACTGATATTACATCTTAACATAGAAATTCAGCAACCAAAATATATCCAATGAAATCCAAATGATTTAGGAGTACTCTTCTACAATAACCACATTTTAGAAAAGCAAAATGCATCAGATGTCTATGGTGAGCACTAGCTTGGGTGACTACACCAAAATCTTTGGGGCCTTATATTCCTCAAGCACCGAATCTTATTCACTTGCATTTATTTCAAAATGGATCTTTTGCAACTCCAAAGTTCAATTCAGTGATATTTTCATAACAAGAAATGGCATAAAAACAAAATTACTGAAAACAGGAGATAGAAATATAGGAATAAACAAAAAAATGAATAGCTCACAGGTTCAACAGGAACCTGGAACATAAAAGCATCTTTCTTATCTGGAAGAGCCTCCTCTTTTTTAAAATTACCTTTGATTAGAAGGAGTTTAGGAATAAAAGAAAAACTCATTAAGTTCAACCATGCAAAGCATGCTACAATCAACAAAGTCAAAAGGTTCAACAGAGTCAAAACAAAAGGGCCTAATACTAAGTTCAGCAACACAGAACAATAACTGCATATACTATATAATATGATCAGTATGTAATTAACATGAAGAAAGTGTTATAGTGATGCAAAACACCATTTTCTAGCCCTTGTCCTCCTTTCCCTTTTGGTTTTGTCGTAATCCAACAACATTAAATACAAACATCAGTTCTTTATCCTGAAACTAAATAGTTTTATAGCATTGCCAATTTGCCAGAGCCCAATGCTTCAGATAGGCTTATCACTCCAATCCATTTCCCCTGCAGAGAAAACACCCCAAACTCCAATTTCTTGGCAACAAAAACAGAATTTCTTAATACAGGTAAATACAAATAAGTTTTTGCTCTTACTCCTTAAACCGAAAACAATTTTCATACTGAAGGAATCACCTTTGACAAACAAGGTAGAAGAGAAGCCTCTGGAGAAACAGAACTGTGCAGGAGTTGTATTGGTAAGGTTTAGATGATATGCATATTTCAAAATGCTTCCCCCAAATCTTGATGCTGCCATTTCTGATTTGGTGATCAGACAGGTTCACCTGTACAATTTACCTTTTTATCTTAGATTTAATTCATTAAAAGTTCATTGAATTCATTCACCAGATTGCTAACTAATTTTTCAAATAGATCAATTCCATATATTTGTATTCCATAACTAGTAAGCAATGAGATGAGCATTTACAAGAAAAAAAAAAAAACAAACTAATTCCAACTATTCTCATTGCATACTTCTCAAATAATTACTGGATTATATAACATACTATCAATCTAATAAAATAAAACTTATTCATGCTAAATCATAATTGAGAAATTATTTGAGGGATTGACATTGAGTGCTATTGCATTTCTTGTTCAGAAGCAGAATAACACACTCCCAGAGGTCCAAAATTAACAGCCACCAAGAAATTCTGTACAATATTTATCAGCTAAATTGCCAGAAAATTGGGCAAGAAACCCTAGAAAGTCTACTGAATTAGTCAAAATTAAATATATTTTCAAAATTTTGTTGAAATCAGTCATTAACAAACTAATGAAAATATATAAAAGCATTTCCTAATAAATGAATAAAAAGAAGATCTAAACAGAAAAATTTATCAAAATCGAAAGGAAATAAACGCAAAATGCAACTCGGAACTAACAGTGAATTGAAAGAAACTCAAACTGTTCGAAGAAACTGAAATGATGAGTAAACAAGGTATACACAAATAACAGCATAATTCTTTAAATCAATTGAGGAACTTGTCTGTTTAAATGCCAAGAAAACACAGTGGCAATTTGCAAGAATTATACTCAAAGTACATGTGACAGAACATTTTTATATTAACACTCAATGAGGCCAACAGCTACAAGCAGCAACTAATGAATCTATTCAAAAGCAATCCAAAATGACTATTGCAGCTAATCAAACCGTTTGTTTGGTTTTTTTTTTTTTCTTTCTTTTTTTTTTCAATATTATCATTTATTCAAAGTAAAGCCATATCAGAGATTGTTGTGAAATTGATTCATGTAACAAAGAACAAAATATGAAAATAACTTGTATAATACGGATCCATTCTGATCATGTAAAAACACGTCAAACATGTAACAAAATATTAGAAACTCGGCCAAAATGTCAAGTTTAGCAAAATATTCAAGTTCAGCCTTTTGCCTCCGCACACATTGGGGCAGGGGTTGCCCAGCGAAACCAAATCCGGTACAGCACGCCCTAACCTCATCTGCTCCCTAACACTTCTAATCTGGAATCAAGAGGAATAAAAAATGTACCAACGAAATGTATAGCTAGAAAAGGAACTTAAATGCGAAAATGCTGAGTTCAAAGAGATTTTACTGACAAAGAAGAGAGGGTCGGACTGTAAAAACTGTCGAAGAAGCACCGGAATCAGAGAAGAAGTCTCACGCTTCTGAAGGTTGGATCTGGATTTCTGAAGAACACCGAAGGATGACCGAAGCTTTTGGAAGATGAACTCGAACTGATCTGGATTGCTAGAGATGAGCCGGAGCTACCTCTAAGGTCGCCAGAAAATGAAGCTGAGATCGGAGAGATGCAGGAACCCTAGCTTTCCTCTATTACTGTCGCTGGATATCTGAATCGAGGAAGAAAGAAGCAGTCATCGGAGGATCCCAACGCAAGGAGAAGCCGTAGAAGAAAGAAGGTGGGAGGTGTAATCCCAATCCGGCGAAACGACATCGTATGGGCTAAACCAAACAATTTCGTCCTTAAAACTATTGACAGATAGCAATCTATTCCAGTTTCTTTGTTCCCATTTCGAATTGGTCCCTGAAATAAATCACAAAAATTTATTAGTTTTCAATTTAGACTTTTATTTCTATTTCTATTTATATTATTTGCTCTTTTTTTTTCAGATTTTTCTTCAATTTCATTGTTTATTTTTACTTCTCATCATTTATCGATTTTTCCTAAATTTATTTGAATTTCATCATTTTTGCATGTTTATATTCTTTATTGAATTTATGAATTTTACTATAAATGCCCAATAAAAGTTGGATTATGGCAAGACACTAAAAGTTGGTATGCTATTTGAAACCGAACAAACAAAATTGCCCAAATTAAGACCTGATTAATCTTGATACCTAGGGTTTTGGCAACAATAACCAAGGTGTCAAAGTTAATAATAATCATGGCATCAAAGTTTATGGAGAATCCAATCAACCTACTTCCCCTATCCAAGTTGCCTTGATTAAGTGTTTTTTCTTTTTTTTGAACATGATTATAATAGGGGATAAAGGGGTAAGAGAAAGGAAATTCATAGGATTTGAAATTGTAATTTACAAAGGTGATCCCACAAATTTAAAATCAATGCCACTGGGTCAAAATGTATGCATCATCTCAATTAAATTTTTAATATTTGTTTCTTGAGAAAATTATCTTCATTAAAAGAAAACCATACCTAAAAACACAACTTAAATTATCTAGTTACTTTATCTATATCCTTAGACATATATCCACCATAAATATATGTACTCGCTACTGAGAGAGATGATAAAAAAACTCAAAGATAGCGGATTGAGATGCAATTGTAGAGTGGTATAAGGGGCCAACAACGAAAAGGAGAAGAGTTGTTGTAAGCAAACAATGAATAGAAGTCAAGGTTTTATCGACGTTGATGAGTTACTAGAGATGGAGAGTGAAGAAATATGCAAGGAGATGACAACGCAAAAGAAATGATCTAAAATTGAAATTATACGATGATAATAAAATTACATGGTGATAATAGAATATATCGGTTAAAAAGGTGAATTCAAAATACATAAATTTTGCTCTTTGAAATACATAAATTTTGCTCTTTGAAATACATTTAATAAATACATATATTTAACTCATTCAATTTTTTTTTTTTTAACATTTTAGCTATGGTACCAAATTGAACTATCGTTCTTGGAAGGGAATATGAACCTTATAAGAGTAGTTAGAACCACTTAACTTACAGGACTAGATTCGTATTTAACTCATTCAATTACACACTTTTTTTTAATATTTAATTACACACATTTTAGGTATAATCAAACAATGATATTAAAATAATAGGTTCAAATTCAAATACATTTAGTCAAATGCACATTCCCAAATAGATTGTTAAAACATTATCCAATGAAACTTTAGGTTTTTTTTTTCCTACAATTTTAATCTTAAAGCTTTTTTTTTTTTAAAAAAAATTTTTTGAACTTAGGTTAAGCATTACGTCACTACCCTTAAGTCATGATTAGTAGAAGTACGGGTTATTACTTAATCAAACTATATAAAAAAATAAATTTAAAATTTTTTTAAAAAAAATTTAGGATATTTTTGTTTGAGGTGCCTTATACTATATATATATTTATTGTTTTTCCTTCTCAACCACTTAGTACTTGTGGCTTCTCTGCATTTGGTAAATTTTTTCTGATAGCTTCTGTATAAAGTCGAAGATAATGAGGGTGTTTTATAAACCTTAAAAAGTATTTTGTTTAAAAATAAATTTTTTTTCATAAATTTATAAATTTATTGGAAAAAAAATTAAAAATTAATTTTTAAAGTGACTTTTAAATAAGTTTTGAGAAAGCGGTACATTTAGATTTTTTTTAAAACTTACATAAAAATTATTTTAAAAGTTAATTATTGAATTTTTTTCCAACAAAATTTTTAAATTTGTAAAAGAAAAATTTTACTTTTAATACAAATATTTTTTAAGTTTTGCCAAACACCCTTGCTGTTAATAAGAAGTTATAATTGAAAAAGAAAAACCTGAAAAGTTGATATAATTTTAAGGGAAAAGTATTTATCAACTAGATTTGTAAAAATTAGGTAGAAAATGCTCTAAACTTGTCTGTCATTTTAATAGAATTTTATTAAAAATATTAAAATATTTTAATTTTTAAAATAAAAATGATACTATTTTAATGTTTTCTTGTAGTGCTTTACCCTTTTTTTTTTCTTTGAAATAAGGGTAATTACTTTACATTATAATTACAAATTTAGCGGACAGGAATAGAGGTTAGTGGTTGGGATCAAAGTCAGGATTGGTATGCCACACCACTAAACGCTTCATCATTGAAACACTAATGTGGTTGGCTTGTAATGTTTTATTAAAATAATGTAATTTTAAATTTTTTTACTTAATTTTCTTTTCATATTTGGCTGCTAATATTAATATCAAAATTTTAAAATACTTCCTAATAATATTATGAGATTAATGTTTATCTATCCAACTTATAAAAAAATTAGACAAAAAAATTACTCAAAAATTACATTTTTTAATAAAATATTATAAGAAAAAGATTAAAATAATATATTTTCAAGACAAGAATGATTTTTTTGAATATTTTTTTATCTAATTTTTTAAAATTTGACTAATAAATAATTTTTTACAATTTTATTATACCAATAAGAAAGTGTTTTTTAATATAAATTGCACTTTTTTGTATAGTTTAAGTACTTAAATTACTTAAATATTCTTAATGAAAGTGTTTTTTTTTAATTTATTCATTAATAATATTTTGATAATTTTAATATTTAAATTGCATAAAAATACAATTTATAAAAAAATATATTTCTTATACTTAAAAAAAATTAAAATTAACAATAATACATTTAAAATACTCCAATAAAAATTTCAACTAAACAACAGAGTACAAGTTGTACAACCTGTCAACCACCACAATCACAGCACAGCAAGCAACGTTCCCAAAGAGAATCAAGTTCATAGTGGTCAAGCATGGCAGGTACCATCGGGGGGCTGATTGGGCGAAGCCAGAATATTTTTCTTTTTTTAGTAACAACCTATTTATCCGGATCAAAAAAAATTTAATTTTTTAAATAAAAATTTGAATTTAAATATTACAAATAAAAAAATAAATATTAAATTTTTTTATTTATGAATTTGACACGATTCGATTATAAATTAATCGAGATTCAATATAATTATCAGATAATAAAAAATTAATATAAAAAAATTAAAATTTTTAAATAAAGAATGACAATATTACTTAAAAAAATAAATCAATAGCACATGGCTTTATAATTTTAAAATTGAAACGAGAACATTGTGTAATAAATTTTTACTATGTTTAACGTTTTATAGTATTATCAAAAGAAATATGGATCAAAGTGCGCTTTATGGTACGAAGATCCAAAGTTGAGGGATAAAAGAAATATGAATTAAGTACGCTTTATGGTACGAATTTTTTTCTTTTTTTAAATAGTGGGAAACTTTTTGTTTTTTTTTCCGAGGAAAGGGAAGGGACCTGAGATTTGATCCCAGATATCATTAGTCTGCAAGGGGTGGCCAATAGGGTACCATGTGCGGGACGCTTTATGCTACGAATTATTCCTTCGTATAGTATAATAATGAATCAATTATGTATTACATTTCAAGATCATGAGTGTGCTTTAAAATATTTAGGGATAAAAATGTTGAAAATTTAAAATTGAGAACCTTAATTGATGTTTAACATTTTATAAAGATTAAAAATTTATTTATATATAAAATTTATATATTACATTTATATAAATTTTAATTATTAATTAATTATTTTTAATTATTAAAATTTATTTATTTATTATATTTATTAAAATAATAATTTTTTATCTAAAAAATATAATAAATTTTAATCATTAAAAATAAAAAATAAATAATCAAAATTTTATATAAATTTTATATATAAAACTTACATATAAATTAATCTTTACTCTTTTATAAATAACTGTAATTTATTTTTTAAACACATCTAATCAAGGGTTTGTTTGCTGCAACATTAACTACTTTTTATATGTTCAATAAAATTATTTTTATGAATAAATTTTAAATGAAATATTAGTATCAATTAAAAATCAAAAAATATATTTCTTTCATTCTAAAATAAATGTTATTTTATGCACTTGGTCCTTCAGTCCAATAGCCTTAGATCATTCGTTAAGTGCATTCCTCCTTCTCCTATGTAATGGTTTGAATTTGGGCTTTTTGTAAATTTGTTAAAAAAAATGTTATTTTTTATTTTAAATTTATTTTAAATTAAATATATTTTTTAATTTTAAAGTAAATAAATTTTTTTCCTTAATTTAATCCTTAAGTTTCTCTTTAATTTTTTATTTTCTCAAAAGATAATAAAGATATACTTAAAACTTGTAAATAGTTTTCAAAATTTTAATTTAAAAAAATAAAAGAGGAATGTTATTTTAGGACTGAGGATTTCAACCTATAACAAATTTATTTATTATTATTACTCGATAGTTGTATTATTTATCATTGATTTATGCTGTTATGGTATTTCTATATCATCTACCATTTATCTCTGGATTAATTATTTTAGGAAAGGAATCTTAAGAAGCGTTCCACGTTGGCCTGGTAGATTAAAGTAAATCAATTTTTTTAAGCGCTAATTCAAAGATTTAAATCTTAAATATTTGGGTTTTATTTAATATAATTATAGTTTTAAAATTTTCCGTTTTGGTTTTTAAAATTTTAAATCCTTAAAATACAATTAAGTAGTTTTATAATTTTTTTGGTATTTATCTATAAATTAATTAAATTTAGAGTTTTGGGTATTTATTTTAAAATTTTATACTTAATAAATTGATAATTTTATTTTTTTAATTTTAGTTTTTAACATTAATTTTGATTATTTAAATTTTGAAAACTAAAATAAAAAACTCAAAACAATAATCATACTAAATAGAGTCTTAGTATACTTTAAATACTACTTTGTTTGATTTAAACTTAGTTTGGGAGTGTTAGGTTGTAACTATAGTTGTAGGGTTTTTGATATTTAATATTAGAAAAATATAAAATATTTTTAATAGAAAAAAAATTTACTCACATACAAGTTTTATACACAATTTTTATACACAATTTTTATACAAAATCTTAATCATTCATCTCTTTATTTTTAATAGTTAAAACTTATCATATTTTTTAGATGAAAAACATAATTATTTTTAATAAATAAATATAATAAAAAGTGAATAAAACCTTAATTATTAAAAATGAAAAAATAAATGGTCAACATATTGTAGAAATATGTTATCTAAGATTTATGTGTAACTAGATCTTGATTTTATTTAATATATTTAGTATTTATTTTAATTAATCTTTTATATATTTTAAGATAGTCAAAAGTTGAAAAAAAAATCAAAAGTTAAAATATTGAGATTCATTTCCAAACGAAGCCTTAGTTGTATTTGAATTTTTAACTTTTAAACATAAATTTAAGATGGAAATTTAATACTATATATAAAATGACAATTAAAAATATTTTTTTCTAATCAAATGAGAATTTTCTATATTTAAGAAAAAAATTTTCAATTACCACATATATATATATACACACACATAAAAAGAGTGTTTTATAAGGTGAATGACATATTAAAAGTGTAATTTGACTTATAAATTTAAGTTAAATATCAGTTTTGATCCTTAACTTTATAATTTTATATAATTTTTTATCTCTTAACTTCTTTTATACATTTTTTGATTTCTCAATCATTAAAAATGTATTTTTTTATTTTTTTATCAATTATTTTATTAAATCTATCAAATTATATATTTTTAATTTCATAACTTACAATATAGGTGTATTTTTTGTTTTTCAACTTAAAGGTTCAAAAATTAAAAATGTGTATATATGAATAAATTTAATGGATTAATTTATAAAAAAACTTAAAAAATGTATTTTTTATAACTAAAGACAAAAATATACATAAAAAATTGAGATATAAAAATTATATAAAATTTTAAAATTGAGGATCAAAATTGATATTTAATTACAATATCTTAATAAAATAACATAAGATAATTTTATTAAAAATATTTTAATAAATTTATAAATCATGTAGATTTTAAATTGTAAAACATAAAATCCCATAGAGTAATGATAGGCGGGACGACGTCGGGGACGAAAATAAGGACCGACAAGTATTAAGAGGGGTAAATTAGTAATTACTTAATATGCATAAATCCTCTTCATATTTGTCGGCCCCAATTTCGTCACCCGGCGTCGTCCCGCCTACCATTACTCAATCCCATATACATACATTATTAAATTTTCATTCCAAAATTTAGGTAAAAAAACAATCAAAAAATTGGCATGGAGGGAGGGAGTATTATATTTGTATCTATCCATTGGCTTCTGTAACTGAAAAAGGTGCATGGTTTCTCCTTAAATCAGAGCTGTGTCCTCAGTTCACTCGAACGACTCATCTTCGCTTCCCCTTACTCTTCCCTCTCTCGCGTTAGCCTTCTGCCTTTCCATCTTCGTTGCTGGGTTCTCCTCAAGGTACGATTGCCATCGCTTCCATTTTACTTTTCCGATTTCTTTCCGGTGGAGATGTTAGATTAAGATTTGCGATTGAACTTCTCTATTTAGATTTATCTTCTTTGTTACGAACTTTTTTGTCTTCTCGAAATCAAGAATGATATTGAGTACCAGCTATCATATTTTTTTCAAGTGTTCTGTATATACTTATGGAATTTGGGACAGGTTAAGTCATTTATTTCAGTTGTACAGAACGGATATGTCAACTATAGGGACAAGAGCATTTCATTATTTTCAGAAGCTAAAAGATGCTAATGTGCCCATTGATTTGATAGAGAAGGGTCAAGATCGAGTTATTGATGCTTCTTTGACACTAATCCGGGAGAGGGCAAAGCTCAAGGTATGTGATTATTTGTTCTCAACCTAATTATCCTGTACCAATGTGTTATTGTGTATCTCTGGCTAATCTTACAGCTGATTATAGTGTCTACCCAAGAAAATTTAGAATCTCTCCATTTCTTTTTTTTTTGGGGTAATTTTTTCACTTTTGTTTTCTGTTAAATTTATATGGTTTTTTATGGTTATCAAGTTATTTCTGGTGGTATAGAAAAGAGATTTTTTTATTGCTTATTTAAACTTATTTCAACCTGTGAAATTCAAAGTAAAACACAGGAATATGAAATCTAGATCTGGTATTCCTATTCCCCAGGGAGAGCTTGTGCGTGCTTTAGGAGGTGCTTTAGCAACAACATCTCTGCTTGGAGTTCCTTTAGGACATAACTCATCATTTCTTCAAGGGCCAGCATTTGCTCCTCCTCGCATTAGAGAGGCAATCTGGGATGGTAGCACAAACTCAACCACTGAAGAAGGTAACTGATGTTGCCTTTCAGCTAACTGTTGTTGGTATCAATGCTCAAAATTTATTTTGTTATCCCAGAATTAAATTTCTTTGTTTAATATGTTGATTCGTAACTGGAGATTCTGGTACTCTTAATATATAGAACTTAACACTATTAAAATTCGCATTTCTCATCCAACAAATAATGTGTGAAATAATTATTTTCTTTTCTAAACTCATCCAAGTATTCAAGTGAATGTTCTTTCTGGTGCCTGACAATTTCTTCTCCCTTGTACCCTAATGTGTTAAAAAAATAAAAAACAACATTAATCCTAACATTATAACTCGAAATAAGTAATTTAATTCAGCCAGAAAACCATAAGATTCTATATATCTATCCAGTTTCCTTGAGATGTTTAGAAACCCATTTTTTTTGGTTGACTTCAAAACTATATGTTTGATGGTTCTATTTTGCACATCATGCTATATTCTTAATTTTTGGTTATGCAGGGAAGGTACTTAGTGATCCGCGAGTGCTAACTGATGTAGGTGATGTCCCTGTCCAAGAGATCCGTGATTGTGGTGTTGATGATGACAAATTAATGAATGTAATTAGCGAGTCTGTCAAGTTAGTAATGGAAGAGGTGAGTTTTGTCCTCTTCTAGCTGCTAACTCAAGAATTATATCCTTTGGTGTTTCACTGCTGGTCACTTTGTGAACAATTCTTGAATTAGGAGCCAAGAAACATCCTTATTTCTTTTTCTTTGAAACAAGAACATAATATATACCTGATTTAAATCTGATTTGAGATTAGTTTTGTTCAGTCTTCCATGCTACCTCAGTCGTTGATTTGGTTTTGGAATAGTTTTGGAATAGTTTTGTAAAACAGTTTTTATTATGTTGATTTTCAAGACCAATATCCCTGGAGATTTTGGGCAACCATATTTTGCAAGAAGGTTCCCTTGCATATGTTTGTTTGTTTGATTATCTGGTTGCTTGTTGGTGATTGTCTTCAGTCTCTGGTTGTTTTTGTAGCATTTCCATTTTTTTTCCTTTCATTTCCTTTTTTTTCCTTACTTTAGTGTCATATTTTAAGATTCTTAGAAATGAAATGTATTTCTAAGAAGATTCCTGGAGACTGGGAAGATTGCTAGAAGTCATTTTTTTCCCTTGTTTTTAATTCTGAATTTGATCTTTAGAATTTTCTTAATCCATCTCACAACTTTTTCAAGAGAAAATATCTTGAATAGGAAGTTTAGGTAAAACTATGATAAAAAAAGTTATAGTCTGTTCATAGACTCTATCTTTATATGTGTTGGAAGGTGTCATTATTGGACGGTGGAAGCATTGAGCATGATAGGATCTTTAATTTCATATTCTTTAGATTTAAATGCTAATTATGCATAGGTTTAATCATAACATCTTCAATTAATGATTTTTTCTTTTTCATAAAAAAAAAGTTTTTCAGAGAATGTCTCCATTTGATAATGCTTATTGAAAAATTGTTAATTTCATGGCTGAGATTTTCTCTTGATGTATGCATGCCTCTGCTACATGTTGATCTTCTCTTGGTATATCCCTGCCTCTGCTACATGTTGACCTGTATTACATGTTGGTTTAAAGAGATATATAGAAACTCTTCCAATGTCCATGATTTTCAGGATCCATTGCGTCCGTTAGTTTTAGGTGGTGACCACTCAATATCTTTTCCAGTTGTGAGAGCTGTCTCTGAGAAGCTTGGTGGACCTGTGGATGTACTTCATTTAGATGCCCATCCTGACATCTATCATGCCTTTGAAGGAAATAAGTATTCACATGCATCTTCTTTTGCTCGAATAATGGAGGGTGGTTATGCTAGACGGCTTTTGCAGGTTGTTTCTCTTTCTCAATGTTCTTTATCAAATATGGCATCTAGCTGATAGAAATCCAAATAGCAAATTTTGAACCAACAGAAGCAATTCCAAGTCCCAAAAGTGGATAGATTAACCCTGGATCATGATAGGGGTAATCATAACACCTAATAGTTTGAGTTGATGTCTGCTCATCAGGTTTTCATACTAGTGAAACATTTTGATGTGTTGACAGCTTAGTAGGCTTTTGTGCTAGTCAAACTTAGTCCTCCCTTTTCCCAACCAGACAAAATGATATTACTTAACAGTTTTAATATTTCCCTTCTGTGTGATACACTGGATTGGAGTCCCATAATTCTATGTGCTTATATCTTTGTATTTGAGCCACTGGTGGAAATGAAATGCAATAACTTTTCAAATCTTGATTGATAAAGCTATTCCTATAGACACTGACATAATGCAATAAGCTTATGGAGTATTGAATTATGATGCTGGTAAAAGAAATGAAGGTGTAAACAAGAAAAGTGAGTATAGGATGATTATCTAGTACCATGCCATTCTGAATGAAAAAGTAATGAAGCTTTTTCTCTCATGTATAGAATTAGGGCAGTTAATGAGTCGTGTGTTATCACTTTTTGGTAATGGTAAAGTGGAAAAGCTTTTTTTCAATAAATATTTGTATAATAACTGTAACTCATTATTAGTAGGGGAGTTTATTGGTAGCACCTCTCTTGTTTTGGATAATTTTTTGGTAAAATTGCAATTATTATATTCTTATAACTACCTGTTTTTCACTTACCTCCTTTTTACTAAACACAGATCCAATCTTATAATAATTTGTCAATGTTACATTTATTGTTTCACAGATTACTTGCACTTATCATATTTTAGGGAGGTTGGCCTTTTTCCCTTGTAAACTCCTAGTCACCACTCAGCAAATCTACAAGGGGTTGACATGTTATTATATTGTAACTAATGGACTGAAATGTTTACATTCTAGGTTGGTATCAGATCAATAACAAGTGAAGGACGTGAGCAAGGAAAAAAATTTGGAGTTGAGCAATATGAAATGCGTACATTTTCAAGAGACCGCAGTTTTTTGGAAAACCTGGTCTCTTTCTCTGTTTCCCTTCCCTTTTTTGTTGTCTTACCATTTTTTTCCTCTTCTTTTTGTTTTTAACTAGAAAAAACTATTCAGTTTGTGGACATGCAAGAAAATTGCAAGTTTTGGTGCTCATACCTGGAACTTATTATATATGCTTCAACAGAAATTAGGTGAAGGAGTGAAAGGTGTCTATATTTCAGTGGATGTGGACTGTCTTGATCCTGCCTTTGCACCAGGAGTATCTCATATTGAACCAGGAGGTCTCTCTTTCCGTGATGTTCTCAACATCCTTCATAATCTCCAAGCTGATGTTGTAGCTGCTGATGTCGTAGAGTTCAATCCACAACGAGATACTGTTGACGGGATGACTGCAATGGTTGCTGCAAAGCTGGTAAGAGAATTGGCCGCAAAGATATCAAAGAATTGATGTGCCATTCCATCAAGATTTTAAGACAATATCATCCTTGGTGCTCATGGGGTTTGACTTTGACCCACACTATGGATTTCTTGTTCCTCTAGCTTTACTAAAGCAACCCAATAAATTGAACATTTATTTACCGGTTAGTAGTTTAAAAGACTACTTCCAGAGGCATTTTATCCTGCATGCATGATTTCATCTCATGCCTTAAAACTATGCATCAATATTGAGTTTAATTTTGTATGAATTTTTATTTTCAATACATCTTCTCATGGATTTGAATTGTTAATTTAGTCGAAGGTCTGCTCCCCATACATGAATGCGTGTTACATATTTGTTGTTTCTCTCCTTAATAGAGGGTAAATTTTGCTGAAATATATGGAGTCACTTTATGCTTATATTTAGCCGAGTCTTTAATACACTTTTCTTCTGCTGTTGACAAATAAGCATTGTTCATTGTTTTACCCCACTCTCACTACATGAAGTTAGAATCAGCAATTCACAAGTCTGCAGCAACGTGGTTGACAATACTGGACATGACAAGAAGCTGGAGTCATTGGGTAAAATTAAATAGTTTAGTTTATGGTTCAATAATAATGTATGCTTAATGTACTGGTTTATATGCATGATTGATGTACATTGTCCGTGCACCATCTTCGGGAACTGGTACGTACAATCAATAAAGGAGTATACATATTTATTATTCGACTTAGGAATAATTACTTAGTTTTAGCTAGGCATATATACCAGAAATTCTTTCATATAATAGGATACTGTATCAACAATATTCCCATTTGCTAATGTGTCAACAGATTAACCAGTGTGGTCTGTACTTGCAGTAAAAAAGATTAATTTATTATTTAATTGAGGAGAAATTTATTTATATAAAAGTTTTATATACTATTTTTATATAAAATTTTAATTATTTATATCTCTAGTTTTAATAATTAAAATTTATCATAATTTTTAAGTAAAAAAATAATTATTTTTAATAAATATAATAAAAAATAAATAAATTTTAATAATTAAAAGTAGAAAGATGAATGATTGAGATTTTATATAAATGTAGTGTGTAAAATCTATATATATGTGGATTTTTACATTTTTTAATCATAAGTGAGGATAATATTTGTTGATGTATCACAACATTAGTGAACATAGTATTCCTATTGTATGAAAGAATTTCATTTTAGATAAAATTAAGTTAATTTGTTTAACTATCTTATAATATCCCATGACCCTACGTTGATGTTTAAAGTCAAATCCAAGATTCCTAATCCAAGAATTTCTCCTAGTCTTGATGTTTAAGGAGATGGATTAAAAATGGTACCATCGTTTGAGCGGTCTCCAAGGTTGTTGAATTAGATAACCAAACCAACCACGACCCCGCACTTCCCCATATGTTGAGGTAAAAGAAAACACTCTTTTAGCTTTCTCAGCACTACGTATGTTTTGGGATCCTTAACGATTACAAGAATTTTTCTCAAGTTTTCCACGAAACATTCAGAATCTTTCTCTTCTCCTTTTTCTTCATTTGGTTTGAAGTTTGAATTTCCTTTCAATTTCTTCTAGCCAATTCAAAGAATAAATCCTAGCTATCTACTAGAAGTATGCTGTTTGTTGAGCTGTATTGGAATGATAATCCACTCATAGTTGTTTGTTGCATCTGCTCTGCGCCATCTCTCATTCTCTTTTGATTTTGCTTCCTTTGACTAAACATATCTCCATTTTTATATATACACACACATGTCAAAGAACAACTAACAAGCCTGAGCTTTTACATCGTTGTTGAGCTCTTTTGTTGTCTCAATATTTAGCCATTTCCCAATCCTGGTTTCCTATGACCTTATGCCATACTTGAAACTTTTCTGAAGCATATTAATCTTCTAATTGAAGACAATCCATTTGTTCTCTGTTACTTCAATCTCCAGATCATGAATCTTGCTCTTAACGTGTTTGTAATTCTGTTCATTGCGTTTCCAAGCGCTGCATTGGCTGCTTCCATAGTGATTAATGAGCAGTATCCTTCAGAACGAGATGCCTTGCTGCAACTGAGGGATTCTCTAAATTCTTCTGCAAACTTGCATATGAACTGGACAGGACCTCCTTGCACCAACAACCAGAGCAGATGGTATGGAATTGATTGTTGGAATTGGCACGTGGTCGAGGTTGTCCTCGACGAGATTCAGCTGACGGGGTCTCTTCCACCAGGCTTCCCTCAAAACATTACTTTCTTGGTCAAACTCAGTCTTAGGAAAAATTTCCTCTTTGGTTCCCTTCCTAATCTTACCAATCTTCAGTACTTGGATTATGTTTTCCTTTCTGAAAATTACTTCACCGGTGAGATTCCTTCTGATTATACCCAACTTTCAAAACTGACGACGCTGGAGCTGCAACAGAATCAGTTATCGGGGGAGATTCCACCATTTGATCAACAAACCTTGATATCCTTCGATGTCTCAAGCAACCATCTTCAGGGTCAAATTCCTCAAACAAATATCCTTCAGGGGTTTTCAGAGAGATCCTATCAACGTAACCCCGGTCTTTGTGGCAGCCCTTTGAAGAACCAGTGCCCATCTCCACCTCCACCTCCACCTCCACCTCCTCTCACAGTTCTATCGCCACCCCAGCCACCAACTCCCATGGTTCTGCCACCAACTCCCTCTATTCTACCGCCAACCCTGCCGCCACTTCCTTCCCTTGTTTCTCCAATTCCATCACCACAGAACAAGAAGAGAAGAAGTCTCAGAACATGGGGTTTGGCTCTTATTGCAGCTTCTGCAGGCTTGGTTCCTTTCTCTCTCATTTTTATTCTCTTGTGTTATTACAAGAGGGTGCACAGGGAGAAAGCAGCAGAAGGACAAAGCTCAGCAGGGTTAGCAGCTGAGAAGAAAATGTCTCCATCCTGGGGAACGACACAGGATCCTGAAAGAACGGTGAAGTTGGAGTTTTTTGAGAATAATATACCGGTTTTTGACATGGATGACTTACTGAGGGCATCAGCCGAAATCCTAGGAAAGGGAAAACTGGGTATTACATACCAAGCAAGTCTAGAATCAGGTCTTGTTGTTGCAGTGAAGAGACTGAAGAACACAAATGGATTGAGCAAGAATGAATTCAGTCAGCAAATGCAGTTGCTGGGAAAGATTAGACACGATAATCTAGCGCGAATCATCTCCTTCTACCATCACAGGGAAGAAAAGCTGGTGATCTATGAATTTGTGGCTAACAGTAGCAACTTGTTCCAGCTCTTGCACAGTAAGTGTAATTTGCTGTTCTTGCATGTACAGAAAAAAGTAGGCCTTTGAATGAGTCCACTCATCCAAGGATCATGATGTTGTATTTTAGTGCAGTTTGTATTGCAAAAAATCATTTTCAATTACTTACACTACCATTGTTCTTAATTTTTGGATTACAGATAAGAGGGGAGTGGGAAAAGTGCCTCTGAATTGGACCACAAGACTGTCCATCATCAAAGACGTAGCAAAGGGTCTCCACTTCCTCCACCAATGCTTACCTTCTGACAATGTTCCTCATGCCAACCTCAAGTCCTCCAACGTCCTCATGCAACTCAATGGCCAAAGCTATCATTCCAAGCTCACAGATTTCGGTTACTTCCCGCTACTACCTTCTCAAAAATCTTCGGGAAAGCTAGCCATTGCCAGGACACCTGAGTTCCATCAAGGAAGGAAATTGACACATAAAGCCGACGTGTATTGCTTTGGTATATTGGTGTTGGAGATCATAACAGGGAAGATCGCTAGTGAGATGACATCGGGAGCTGAGGTATCCAAGGAGGATTTGTCAGAGTGGGTGAGGATGAAGGTGGTGAATGACAGTTGGCCGGCAGAGATATTGGATGAGGAGATAGTCTGTGCAAGAGAATGGCATGATGAAATGCTGAAGTTAACGGAGTTGGCTTTGGAGTGCGCAGATAGTGTGCCTGAGAAACGACCCAAGATGAGTGAGGTCTTGACAAGGATACAAGAAATTGAACAGACAAACTGAATGGGTATTGTTTTCAGAAATGTTTTTTTCTTTCTTTCTTTCTTGAAATTACCCAAACATCTTTATTGAGACTTCCATCCATATTTACTTTTACTCAGAATGCATTTTTTTTTGGCAGTTTTTACATAAAAACACAAATCTCTATTGTTCTAACTCTCTGTTTTAATAATTTGTATTCAGGAATCAATGTTGATAAAAACTTCTTCACATTAGTGTATCTTTTTATTTTTATTTTTATTTTTATTTTAAAGAGGACAATTCTGTTACAAAATAGAAGATATTTAAAGGGGAAGAAAAGTAAGAACATATAAAAGATAAAGGTGAAACAATGAGACAGTGATATGGGTATGGTAAAAAATTAATTTGTAGATGGAAGAATTGTTCCCATTTTGATTTTAGTAGTTTTCCGTGTGTACTCTTTGAAAAAAACAGAGGGAAGATTTGTTTGATTATGAAAGAAAGAAGTAAGAAAGCTCGGGATTTTCCGTTCAACTTAAATATTTTAGTTTTATGTTATTACTAAGTTTTCTGCATTAATTTCATATTCCCAATCAAATTCCTTCTTACATATTTTTTCTTCTTCTCATAATAAAAAAAATTGAATCAATTTTCTGACTTTTATTTTTAATTCATCATAACATAAACAGGTTTGCTTTGTTTCTTGACAAAATTTCCTTTCCTTGCTTCAAGAACTTACCATCATCCTGCAGAAACACAATAACTACCAAGGAGATAGTTAACAAAATATTCTTATGCAGTCTGAATTATACTATATTATACAACAAAAATCATTGTATGAAAGAGTTTTTCTCCTATCCAACTAATCTTGTTTTGCAATCTAGTATACTCTTAACAACAAAACAAAAGACTTATTTTTCTTTATAAGAAATATAGTTTCATTAATATATGAAAACCATAAGAGCTACATAATCAACTTGAATGGCTAATATGCAAGAGGTATTACACTTATAAAATATGTGAATATGTAAAACCAAATAATATAATATATAGATGAATATAGCAATCAAACCTGATCTCAAAATTTAGCAGTCAAGTCGTACTCTAGCATAATCCACTCCCAAACATAAGATAACTTGGTTGGGTTAGAAAAATTTAACTGGGGACTATGTCTCCAACAATGCCTTCAATAGTTAAAACAAACATGACAACTAATTTGAGTTCAACCAATATCACATTCAAATTGTCATCCTCAATTAACAAAAGTGAATCATGACCAAAGCTACTAATAAAGCCTAGCTAGAAGAGAGAAAAAAATCCTTACAAGAAAAGAGAGAACTCCTTCCTTTAGCCATCTAGCCTAACTGCAAAGGAGGGGAGAAGTAACGACAGCTAAGAAAAAGAGTAAAATATTAGGATGAGAGAGAGGGACGGGCTGGCAAGGGTTTTAACACAAAACAGAAGACTAATTAGTTAGGGATGTTAGTAAATATATGTCTCCACGGAAATTTTTTCAGCAACTGTAATACATATTCTTGCCCACAAAGATCTTCAGATTCAAGCAAGAAGGGGAATACAAGGACAGAATACATCAAACTTACCCAGCTTAATTGAAGAAAAGAAGCATGAATTTAACAAAATGAAATTGAAATCTTTGTATTTTTTGTAGGGAAAAGTTTGATGAATTGATATTATTGACTAATGGGCAAAAAAACAGAAGATATTATTGACTAAGTAAGCTCTAGCGCTTCAGATCATAGAGCAGCCCATCTTCAAGTAACGGGACAAATCCTTCACATGATCCTTCTGGGATCTTTGTATCCGCTAATACTCTCTCTCTCTTCTCTTCTCTCTCTCTTTTTTTATTAGAAAATGAATTATAAAATAAGAAGTAATTATTCCTTCCTAAATTCCTTTTCATACATTTAAAAATTTAAATTTAAAATCTCTAATATAGAGATTCAAACTTTTAATTAGTGATACGTTTCATAAGATATTCTATTTATTAGTAGCTTTCAAATTTAGTTGACCTTGCAAGGTCAACAATGAAAATTAAGGCATGTATGGAATGCTTTATATAATATTCTTTTTCTTATCAACAATTTAAATAACTTAGTGATAATTTTTTTTGTTGAAAATAAGAGATTGTCAATTCGAATTACATGACATAGAAGTGGAGTGAAATAAGAGACGAGAGAGAGTTGCCTCTTATTATGCCACCAAAATCAAAAACATATATTTTCTTGTAGTATTGTATATAAAAATATAAAATTATTACAGATAATTAATTTGAATTAATATTTTATATATTTTTTTGATAGAAAAAAAAAAAAAAACCTTTAGTTATAACGTAGCATAATACAACATTCCTAAATAAAGTCTAATAGTGTTTATAGGTGCACAATTTACTAATTTATTTTCACAACTTACACATATAATATATCATGAGTTTTAAGAAAATATATAAAGAAAAAACCTACCATCATTAAAAAATATAAGATTGTGAAAAAAAATTATACAAATGTCGTTAAATCATTTTTCAAAAACCAATGACATGGTATAACATTAAAACAGGCTGATTGGCTTCTAGAAAACACCTGTTGGGACCCTGGGGCTACTGATTCCTGTTGAGATTACAGCTACGAAGGTATTTTCTGTTAGCCAAACAGCAGGCCGACGAGTAAACTGATACATATGACTTGCATGAGAGAGGTTTCGGTGCCAACTCCCAACCGAAAAAATACGTACGTGTCGTACTTCCTGATTAGCATCCCGCAAGTGTCCCACTAAGTCCAAACCGTATCTGACCATTTTAAACCATTAGCCTTCCATTTCTCAGCCATGCACTAGCTCGTCCATCTCTCTTTGCTTCTTCTTCTTTCACTTCTCCTCCACCTTTTCGAAACCCCCTTAATTTGGCCGGTACACAAACCCCAACATGCCTTCCCGTATATACCAATTTGGTACAGCTGATGAGGCCACCCACCCTGGCTCCATCAGAGCCACCTTGGCTGAGTTTCTTTCCACTTTCGTCTTTGTCTTTGCCGGGGAAGGCTCTATCCTCTCTCTTGGTACACTCTGTCTTCTTAGTTATGAACTAGATATGTACATTGTTGTCATCTTCTATTTTCATCCATTGATATACAATTCTTGCAGACAAGATATAAAAGGACTCGAGTGCGGTCTCAATCTCAGGGACAACCACCGCAGGGTTGGTGGTCATAGCACTTGCGCATGCGCTGTCTCTGTTCTCCGCTGTGGCGTCCAGTATGAACATATCAGGTGGCCATGTCAACCCTGCGGTTACCTTAATTTGGTGCCCTTATCGGAGGAAGAATCTCGGTCCTTCGTGCCTTCTATTATTGGGTTGCTCAGCTCTTGGGTTCCATTTTGGCTGCTCTCTTGCTAAGGGTCTGCACTGCAGGAATGGTAATAACCAATCAATCGGAAGACACAGAGCAATCCCCTAGGTTTTGTAAACCTTTTTCTTTAACTAAATATCGCTTGCATGCAGAGACCTGTAGGGTTCTTCGTGTCCTCTGGAGTTGGGGAGTTTCATGGTCTTGTGCTGGAGATAGTGCCGACATATGGCTTGGTTTACACTGTCTATGCGACGGCCATCCCAAAAGGGGAAACCTGGGGATCATTGCATCGCTGGCCATCGGGTTAATAGTTGGGGCGAACATTCTAGTAGGAGGACCGTTTGATGGAGCTGCAATGAATCCAGCCAGGGCGTTTGGACCTGCCCTTGTGGGGTGGCGGTGGCACAACCATTGGATTTACTGGGTAGGTCCTTTGGTTGGAGGAGGTCTGGCGGCTCTCATCTACGAGTATTTGATCATCCCCACAGAACCAACCCAGCACCACACTCACCAGCCCTTGGCCCCTGAAGATTACTAGTGATCAGATTTGTGCACAATGCTCGTCTGCCTCTTGCTATGCTTTCCCTGTATCTAGCTTTCTTCTTTTGTTATGGCTATGAACCTTGAGTTGTGTTTTCTTTCTGCACTGTACTTGTTACTCCACGCACCTGTCTATGCAATGCTACAACTTCCAATACCAGAAATAAATAAATAAAATAAGTTCAGTGAGTTGCGAAATTTCATGTTATGAATTTGCAAAAGATCAGTCTACATTTTCTTAACATGGGGAATTTAATTGGGAAAAGGAAGCAACTACAATAATTACAATGTCCTGAATTGAACTCGGGAGTCAGGACCATTTCAACGAGTTTGCTAATAGAGGCTCAAACTACTATAGCAATATCGCAAATTATACATGAACGGACATTACTGACGTTTTATGTTAAATTTTGCCGTAAAATCTAGCAACCCAAGGAGCAAGATCAGTTTTGTCAGGGGATCTTGGATTGGCAGCATAATAATCAGACCACCAACAAGGTGAAAGTCTATCAGCAAGTTTTCCATCTTTGTAAATACAAAATGGTAGCCAAGCCTCACCTCCATTCATTCTCCTCTTCCTCTCTCTAGGATATGCCAATGGTGCCTGTACATACCTGTCCATCATATAGTCAAATTATTACCAGTCATATAAACTGCCTATGCCTATCAACAAAGTGTCTTGTTTCAAGCTAAAATTATGTTACCATATACTTCTTGAAAAGGCAGTTAACTACTAAGCAATAATAGCTTTCATAATCACTGAGAGGTGTACTTATATTGAAATGTATTCAAGAAATTAAAAGGCATTATACAAGTGAATATACTGTGAGAATGGTATTAAGTACCTGATACCATCAAGCACAGCATCCCAGCAAAAATGGGTGTGACCAAATACATGACAAGCAGATGAACTCCCTTCAGCCCCATGTATGGACCTTATACGAACCTCAAGCCTATCAGAACCAATGATTTTGGGGAGGTTTGGATAGAAAAGCATTCTTTTCTCAGGACATAGCTCTTGCCTAGATATCAGAGCAAGCAATTAACTTTAATCACGCACCACAGCGAACAAATTATTTGCTAGCTACATGTATGACCATATGAATTGCCCAAACTTCTGGATTCATGCACAGTTGCGTCATAGAAGAAAAATCATATACATTAAGCGTCACAGAAGGGTTGATTAATTCTGCTATTAACCATATAAAATTTCTTAACTAGATAGGTTGAAGAATAATCTTGACATGAGATGGTTAAGGCACTATAGTATAAGAGAACTAGGAACATTTTTAAAGGGTTAAGTGTTTAAGCCTACAAAAATAAGTTTAAGATAGAATCCATTTGTTACCAATGTGAAGATATGTCAATTCTCAAAAACTTAGAATCAAATATTTATTAGGAAAAACTTTACCCACTTGAACCAACCTAATTGAAAGTGTACATTTATAAACCTATTTTCTCTTCTTCAAACTTCAGCCACCTTCCCTCTGGCATGTAAATCGTAGCTGCTATCAGATCCTATTCTCTCCATTTTCACTGCTAGCCTAAGACATATCTACACGGATCAGACTCACCTTGATCCATCACTACAATATCCAAGTCACTCCTTCCTAAATATCAGAGCATGAACTTCTAGATTTCTGATCAACAACAGCCATTGCTACAATCAGAGCAATGGCAATTACCATTGTTGGCTAGTTATTTCTGCAAACATTTCTCCATACTTTCAAATTTATTCATTGATTCCACTATCGTCCTCTTTCTTAGAGTTTTGTCAAGTTTCCACTTTCTATAGCTTACAAGGTCCTACATTACAGTTCAAAGCACCAAAATAGAACCCATGAAGGTACTCGATTCTTCCCAATTGCACTGATATCAAACGCTCATCCTTGCATTAAACCCTTAAATCCTCCAAAAATTTTGGATCATCTCCACTTCACAATATCTTCAGTAAATTTACATATGCCAAAAGGCAATTAAATAAAATGGGGCAAATAGCTATCAAATAAGAAAAAGGCAGTTTATACTTTAAAAAGCAGTCAGCTAACCTCGGAACAAAATGAGAAAATGTAATTACTTGGCTACATGTGCTCTGTATCTCCTTCACCATATCTTGATTTTCCTCATTCATTGCATCAAAGTATGAAGCAAGTTCAGTATCCCGATTTGAAAGCATGCTAGGCCACTTGCATGCATGAAAGTCCTTGCATGCCTATTGATAATTAAAGGAAACTTCTGTAACCATAAAAACATCTTAAAATAATAAAAACAAAGGGAGAAGCATCAAGAAATTTCTTTAACATTTGGATGCAAATGCCAAGAGAGTAATTTACAGCCAGATATAAGATACAAAGCAAAAAGCAGACAATCACATCCTTTGGTTTGCTAAGATAACCACAGAGCACTTAGACTATCAATGGTAACCCACAGGTCAGGGTATAAGAATTAGGCTAGGCTAGGCAAACTTGAATAATGAAAAATATTGTAATTCAAGAATGATGTTACATTTTTGGTATCACATGGAAACTAAAAGAACAACAGAGTCACATTTTCATTCTATTAAAGTTAATGAAATTCTTACAAGGGGAAAAGAAAGTGAATCACCATCTCCAAGGGTGGAATGCGAATGCCAGTTATGTCCTTCTCTCTATCAAAGCTCTGTATCATAAGTAAGATAAAAGAGACAAGTCAGTTCAGCAATGCACAACTACTTTTATAGAAAAAGAAGGCTTAAAAGGAACAGAAATGTGAAGCATAAGAAGATAAGGAGGGGCAGAGAGAAAGGGAGGTGCATGACTGCTCTCAAAAGTTAAAACAAGCATTCATAAGCTAATAACCTCATGGTACCAAGAAAACAATGGAATGATTCCCAAGCCATCTATATCCACTGGATTGGTCTCAACTCCAAGAAGTCTACATGCAGCAAGCAACTTGTTCAGCTTTTCAAGAGAATCAAGCTGAAAAATAAATTCATATGGATACTCAAATGGCAAGAAAAAAAAAAAGAATAAGGAGTAACATGCAGCAAAAAAAGAAAAGAAAAAAGAAGAACAAGAAGCAAGCACAATATCATTTATATGTACTGATAAATGATAACTGATATTGGATATACATAGGCTGCTGCGAAATTAAGTTTTGCTTTCTTTCTGGTATCCTAGAGATGAAATATGCATTTGAGAAATTTTACTCATTTTTTTGATGATTAAGAAAATGTTTAGAATTTAAATAGGAAATAAATGATAACTTATGATTAATTGCTGGCTTGACAGTTGCTCCAGTTTGGCTTGTAGCTCAGTCATCAGATTTGTTGAATGATCAAGGGAGTTGGTTTCAAAGACTTATCAGGCAGTTCTAATAATAACCTAAAAGCACAAAATGACAAAATGGAGAATTCAAGCTCAAGAACCAGATTTGTTAATCAAATAAATGTAGCTTAATGTTAATAACTGAGAAATTTGCAAATAAATGTATAAAAAGAGAACATTATCCAAGACACAAGTAAATGTGTATCTGATGTTGATGATTAGTACATCTATATCACAATGTATCTCAGATTTTCTAAACACAATCTCACAGATGCTTCCTTATCAAACATATATTCAATCTAAGAAGAAGGCCATGAGCTTAAGCAAAACATTAAAATTCCTAATCGTGGCCTTCAACCCCACAATTGCTAAATTATCTGAGAAAGCTGAACTACATAAATGAACAAACTAAGTAATGCTTGTCTTTCCATTAAACTAGTGTGAAACAAACTGGAATATGATTCATTTAGACTCAATTAAAGTTCACAATGCTCAACCCCTACTTTATGAAGCTGTGCACAAGAGCAGTGCAGTCCTAATGCAACATCTAGAGTAAAAAGGGAAAATTCTCTTGAAGATAATTTACACGGTTACACTAACATGTCTATACACAACCACAATAACCAAAAAAAAAATAAAAAAAATTGTAGCATAAAAGTGTATTTCTTACATCACTATCTCCCTCACGACGACACCAAAGATCATGGTTTCCAGGTACATAAAAGACGTGATCAAATCTATCCTTCAAGAGGGACATGGTCAAAACAAAATTCTTGCATGTCTCTGCAACATCACCTGCAACAAGAAGCACATCCTTCCTGTGTTTTTTATACGACAAGCGCTTGACCCATTTCATGTTTTCTGGGTAGTCAGTGTGCAAGTCTGAGAGCACAAAAACCCGCAGGCCAAAACCATCCCTAGGTGCACAGGGTAATATTTCTGCCCTTCTAATGCAACCCCTTTTATTGTCTCTCCTATTCTTTCTTGATGCAATTTTCTGGGAAAGATAGTTTGAAGATAAACTCAGGCATGACAGCATGTGTATTGCTTTCTTCTCTCTCAACCAGCTGAGCTCTACCCAATTGAAAAAAACAACAAATTCATCATGAATGATAGTTATTTCAGCAATGCATCCATGGGAAACTAAAATCTACACTATTTCTTGGGGGAAAACAATCTAGGATTAGATTTCTGATTTCCCTTTGCTGAATGTAATTTTGAATGCCCTTATGCTGACATTCATCCACCAACAATTCAAAAAATAAAAAAACAGAATTAAAGAAAAGAATATGCGTGAGTACCTGACTACTTTGCTCCAATTCAAGCCAGAGGCCCTCCTGAGTTTCACCCAGAAAAAATGGAATTTGGTTTTTGCCAGGAAAAATGGTATGCAGATTTCTATAGAGATAGTTGGTGGTGGCTTGAGGCTGAAATTACAAAAAGGTTGTTTTTAGGGGCTCTGGCCTCTGGGGGTGGATTTGGGCTAAAGAGTGGTCCGAATTCCTTCATTTGTTGTATTGGGCTTATTGTGTCCATATCTTGGGCTTTCCCATAGACAACACAGGGCAGAGAACATGATTTTTTTCGAAAATAATAGATGTAACAAGGCCACATGTCACGCAAGTATCCCCTAAACTTTTTTT